TTATACATCGTACTACTGTTCCTGTTGGCACCAACTGCCGTTCTCTTCCCAGCAAGATTATGTATTTGAAATCTCTTTTATGCTCTCATACTTATCACAATATGGCTGTAATCACGCTACAGTGAACTTGGCTTCACGAGCCTTATGACGACAATCTTGTCTCACTAAATCGTTTCGTTCTGTCTAGACAAGATTGGTTTTGTTTCAAAAGGAAATGTAGGGGTGAGGTTGCAACCTTTATTCGGTCCCAGTGATTGGTTTCAAACAGTGTATGCTTCAAATTCTCTAGTGACTTTATTGATTGTATTACAGTCGAATGTTGCCGCAAACACTTATCCAGGTATTAAGACATTTTTATCTCAAACATTTACATCACCCCTGGCTGTCCCCTCTCTGCTCCATCTGATTTTGCAGGTAAATTTATCGTTTTTGCTGTCGCTTATCTTGAGAACTATTTATCAATAGTCACTGGAGACTTCAACTCCTGCGACTGTTCTTTCCTTGAATCACTTGGTCATGTAAACGTTGTCAATTTTACTACTCGACCTGATGAAATACTTGATTTGGTGCTTACCAATGACGCTGGAATATATAAAGCACGCAGACGTGCTCCAATACTGAATTCTGATCGTTGCATTATTCAAGTGATGCCTAAAACATATGACAAGTTGCACACAAGTATCTTTTCTCACCGTTCCAAGAAAACGCAACAGAGATGCTACTCACAGGACATTATACATAGACTTAGATGCATGCTGAATAGCACCAGCTGAGCATACACTGGATGATACAATCACCAATATAACGGATTATCTTAAATTCTGTCTAGACGTATGTTGCCCCCAACAGACACTATTCAAAAGACTTGACTGTTTCTCTTCTCATCATCTCAAAACGCTAGGTAGAGAAAAAGAACGGCGATACGAGTCTAAAGATAAATCTCGTCTTAAAAGGATCAACATCTCGATTAAACCTGAAATGCCAAGTCTGAACATTATTTATAACCAAAGACTTTTACCAAGTAAAACTCCCTCAAACATGTGGAAACGTTTCAATGAAATTACTGGCAGTGGTAAGCAAGGCATTATTGTTCCCTCTGTAAATGCTCTTAACAAATCTTTCATACGCTCTCCTACTGACACTTTCATTCCTAATGCTACCAATCATAAGGTTAATGACTTTCATGGTTTTAACACTCTTTACGTTCTCAAATCTCTAAAACTTTCCCAAACCTTTGGTCCTGATGGTGTACCTGTTGTTGTCCTCAGAAGAGATGTGGATGCCTCCTCTTACAAACAATTTCAATGCCTCCTTTTCCAGTAATTTTGTACCTCCGGCATGGAAAGACATTAAAATTATGCCGGCACGCAGATCATGTTTTGCTATTAATGTTAAATTTAGACCTATTACAGTTGCCTCTCCTTTTTTGGAATTAATGGATAAATTACTTTTACCCAACCTTGAACCCTTCTTAAAAAGTTTTAACAACGCGAAACAGTTTGCTTATAAACAGGACAGGAGTGTTTTAGATGTTGCTGCTATCTTATATCAAATATATCTGACGTACCCTCCTTGTATACGCATCTGTTTTTGACTTTTTTACTGAAGCTGGTTTTCCCTCCAGGTGCTGCTCTTTCCTCTTCTGTTTTTCCTTCCTTTTTACATGACTTGTCTCTTTAGGAAGAAAACAACTCCGTTAAACACACTGATGACGTGAATGTCTCACTGCCAGTTGGGTCTCGATCCAACTGTTCCAAACTGAAGAGCTTTCTCTAGGATATCAGCCAGTGGTCTGAGCTAAATGTTCTTAGCTTAAATACCTCTAAATGTCAAACTATCAACTTCACCTCTACGCATAAAAGTGATCTGCACGAACTGGTCTGTTCACAAAATGTTTGTAGGATACAGGTCACTGAAGACGAAACTAAGTCAAGCATTAAATGTCCTGGAATAGTTCTTTCCTCTGATCTTTCTTCGTCATCCCATATCTTGTCGATCTCTAAGAAAATGTTCCATCTAACCTACTACTCTAAGAAGTTAAGACAATTAGGAATCACTCAACCCCTACTTTTACAATTCGTTAACTTTTCATCTTACCTATTGTACTTGATTGCTCCCCATTAGTCTTTCCTGGAATACTCAAAAAGGACTATGTTAGATTGTGCAGGGTATTGACGGTTTTCAGTAGGGCAAGTGGTGTGCCACTTAGTCAGCTCATTGCTACTGAAGACGACAGACACCTGAAGTCATTCGAGAAATTGGCTAAATCCATATTGTCTGACTCTCAACGCCTCCTCCATTCTCAACTCTTCCTTTGCATCTCATCATGTAAAAGTAGAGGTCATTACAAAAGATTGATATGCTCGTAGAAAAGCTCAACAATACCCTATTCGGCCTGCATCCTATGTGATGATGGATATAGTTTTAGGCGCGAAACCTACGAATTACTATTTTTTCACTGAATTAATGTTTCTCTCATTCTCTCCTATTTGTAATCGATGGTGACACTGTTTCAATTATATTAAAATTTCAGCTACTAACACTATTATCATTATTTCACACTTTTAATACATTTTTGACTTTATCGTCACTGCGAATACCAAAAGCTGCTATTAATCATCGTGGCTAGCTATTTCTTGACCTGGAGATGCCATTCGATTCTGCTGACCGGGAAGTGCGGTGACATTGTTTCCATCAGTGGTACTTTGAGAAAGTATTTGACACTTATAAAGGACCTCTACTCGGACCCACGCTACTGTTGTACTGGTTATTGAGAGCTTTCGTTTGAAAGGATGCCAACTAGTGGCGTCTATCAGGGTCTCCCTGATTTTTGTTTCATTGCATAATAAATATGGTCCTAACAGACTTCAATGACTCAAGGATTGACTTGTTACTAGAGAATAAACTGGTTGGTTTGCAGCATTCAGATGATATTGTCCACCTAGTTGAAGAGGATGGCAAAATGTAAACAGTCTTATGAACACTTTGCGAAGAATTCTCTGAACCTTTGTCACGAGATTCGCCCATTTCAAATGTCACATGATAATGATTAAACTGGTGGAGGACTTGTCTTAACCGACTGATTCCTAGTTTAACGATGGAAAGAAAGTCAAGTGGTTGAGTTTGTTGGCCATTTCACTTATTTGGGATATTTCGTCAGCAAGACCTAATGGACTGACTGGTGGATGACAAGATCTCAACACACCAGTTCGCCATGCCCACTTTTAGGACTGTGAGAGTGGAAAATAGGAGAGGTTAACTGTCTTTGACTATAAGTATTTATACTCTGCATCCCCTTCCAATTATTATAATACAGTGAGTAATATCAAGGTTAGAGTTTTGTTCTCTCTGACACTTCCATTATATGTAGTCCCTTTAACTATTTTCTCTACCCTGAACTATAGCAGTCTTGTGTAAAGTCCTACTCTGAAAGCTTAGTCTGACTTAACGGTCTTTTCTTGAGACGGTTTTCTGACCACTTTGTAGAAAATGACAACTGCCAACATATTCTCGAAGCGATGTGTAAGACTAACAACTGCAGGATACATAGCATAGATGAATTCAAACCGGATGTTTCGTCGGCTTTTCTTATAAGATCTCAGGGTGGTTTGTTAATTCTGGGTCGTCCCCTCTGTAATGGTGCTTTACACTCAATTAGTTGACTGGATGAGTGTTCAATTCTGAGGTTGGATGATCCGACACTCAATCATCGATGACCAAATTTTTTTTAAATTGTTGGGGTATAGGGACTTTATATGCAGCCCTAATTCTAACCTTATTAAGAATCCTACGTAGGGTCTCTAATGTTACCTATTTATATGGTCTTAGTGCGGAGACTTAAATTTCCTCATTAATCTCATTACTACTTCTATTTCCCTTATTGGTCTTCATACATTTTTGTATAAATTCTGGTGGGTAATTAGTTATTCACAATTAGCATTTTCTTTATTTACTTGATCTCATTATCGAAACCTTCTGATGTTACTAGTTAGGTTCCTAACTCCCCTATATAAACGCAAATTAACCTACTCTTACCGATTTTGAGTCGAATGAAACAAAGGACAAGCATTTATTAGAATATGTTGGTTCCTAAAGTCAACTATTGGCCTAATGAGATATCCTGGTTTATGCATTTTAATAGTTCCATACATTCTACTAGGATTATTAGTTTTAGGTATAAACATAAACCGCAGAGGTGACTACATTCGACGTAGAAGACTAACTGTAGATTGTTTGGTCTTATTCGTAAAAATGTCTACAGGATTTCTAATTTTCTGTTCTAATATGTTTATTAACTGGTCATTCTATAACCAATGTTGTATTACCCTTTTCCAATTTAGCAATTAGTATGTTTTTGTCATTTTTCAAGCATTTTAGAATTGCTATTTCTTGCTCTCTCTTGGTACTTCCGTGTAAACGCACGTTCTACAATGACTTGCTAAGCAGTTGTTTTACCTATTTCTCCTTATGTTATTTCCAATTACACTAGGTATCATATCCTCAGGTTTTATTCTTTTGACAGCTACCTACATTGGAGTTCCATCCCTTCCTTATCACAAGCACCCTTATTTCGCCGCAGCTTGATGCTCTTACTTTCAACCAACTGAAAATATCAGTTCAGAGTGTACTGTGTACTGTGATGGCGGACTACCCAGCATGATTATGACCACAGTGCAAACTCGACTGATAGTCACTCATATCTGCATTAACACACCAAGGACTAGATGCATGACGTGAATTACTCGCCTAGAGTCCAGTCAAAATATCAATCGCAGTAGTACAGGAAGTCAAATGCAAGCCAAGGTAGGTCAGTGGTAATGTTTCTGACTGCAACACAAGGTGAAACCAGGTTAGAATCTCACAGTAAGAGATATGAGTGAAGGTACACCTTGCTAACTGCTCAGTGCTGACAGGCGTGAAGCCTAAGTCCAACAGGGCTTCCTACCGATCGATTACAACCGTCTAACAACAATTCAGAAGTATATATCCATAAAATAATTTTAATCTTTGCAATCGAATGTGCACTTTGGTAGAAAATATGTATCGAAATACCAGTATCTTTGGGCAACATTCTTCCATAAATCTTGGCCAGCAACATCAACTGGTACAGCGTCATATACACAACATAATCCTAATCTGTAAAAGAAAAAGAAATATATATATTTATAAATATAAATATATATCATTAAATAATAAAGCATTGAGAAAAACAATCAGTCATGGGTATATATATATATATATATATATAAGCTCTGACATCTATATGAGAAAAACCAGCAAGTTGCCAGAAGAGGCTGGCAGCGAAGACGCCACTTCAAGTGCACACAGGGGGGGGGGACAGAGTTGGTGAAGATACCTGAGCAGCAATAACAAGAAGAATAAAAAGGAGATGAAGCTGTAAATATCATGAACGGGAAAGGTTGCAGTAAATTGACTTGCTTGTTTCACTCCCCTAGTGAGAATCATTCCAACTACAGGCACATGCACGGATGAGCATGTCAAAGGCAAACAAGCAACGAAATAGCTAGTCAACCAGCAAGCTTTCTAGTCAGCCAGACAGCCATATTCGGAAAAGACAGCAAGACACACCTTCATTAATCTGATGCCAGTGTGGAAATCTGCTCCACTAGGTATAAGGAAGAAGATTGGATTTTTCAAGACTACTGTCAAATCGGTTAGTGCTTCTCTATGTGCTCCACAGACTCGGCTCAAACCTTACCATAAGCATGCATTTACAACAGGCAACTGGGAATATTGACTCGCCTCATACTGGAGAGACAGAGACTGAAAGATACTCGTCATGCAAAAGTCCGACTGCAACAAGCTGGATTCGGGCAAAGCAAATCATTTGAGGATCAAATTGCAAAGCTTCGATTCATCGTCGCCAACATCATCATCACCATCATGAGCAACAGCAGCAGCATGGAACACAGGATAGAATGCCTGTCAACTCTCCACCTCAACTTCATCGAATTTGGAAAGGCCTCACACAGCGTTGAGCATGAAGTGATTTTGAAACTGCTTCAACAAACACAACGAAGTAGTCACCTAAACCTGCATTAACCTCATTCAACAGCTATGTGAATATGAGGATGCAACACGTCAAGTGCCTGATGACGGAAAGCAGCTCAGCTGACTGACTGAGTTTGAAGGTGGAGATTTGCACAGAAGTGCAGCACTTTTAGCTACCACACTCCTTGTAGCACAAAAAGATGGACAAGAGATAGGGGAAAAGACATTCAAGAAGGATTATAATAAGCAGAAATGCACGGAAAAAGATGACAGGTCAGTGGATACGGGAGATCACAAAGAGTGCATACATCTTCGTCGCTGAGAACGACTTAGAACCTTATCACCAATAGTTCCTGGCCATTTATTTCTTAGTATCTCAAGGATCCTAACCAGTCAGACAGTCTACAGCTAACTATATGGCTGGCTAATTGAAACGAATTGTCAAAGACTTCACATGGATTGATTCAATGATTGATTGTTTAACCACCTGAACCTAATTCTTTTCTAACCCAATCTTATCTCAGCGGCTAACATGGCTCGGCATGAGCGACACATGTCCTAAGCATCTCAACTGACTCTCTTTCCTTACGTAAGACTGTACACGCTTAACCACAACATCATTACGGCTCACCATATTATACTACCAATTAACAACACATGATGCAAACATCAATGACTGGTAAAAGATTGAAATTGAAATCGTAAGCTAACCTTTTCAAGTGGAGTCGAATAGTTTCACATGCCACTCCGTGAAAAAATACATTATCCGGACATAGACCGTTATAATATGAATAGCGTCCAGGAAGCGGTTGAACTTCATTCTCATTCCCAACTGACTGCTCTTCACCTGGAGGAAGTGAGAGTAATTTGGGTAACCATGTATTAAATTCCTTTAAATCTTTATCATCTTCAGCGTAGGTATCAAAAAATATTCCACTAAATCTTGGCATCTTCCCTTCTTCAATTTCATTGGCTAGTGTGACAACTGCGTCTTGCCATCTGGATGCAATAATTCGAACACCAGGTCGTTGATACCAACCTTCTGACTGCATCTTTTGTAGTACCTATAAACAATAATAAAGGAGTGACAGCAAGCTTATCATGTTAACTTCGGAAATCTAGATTTTCATATATTCATTAAAACACTAACTTTTTACATTAAGACATTACAAATGAGACCCACAACAATTTATCTCATAGCTTGTTCGAGGGTTGAAATACTACCTAGACACCAAGACCGAAGCAGATAGTTGTCTTAAGCAGTAAAGCCTCCCTACCCTTCCACTCGAAATCTCATCCATAAGACAGTGCAGCAGAATTTGGAGCCACATTCTCATTGTTTTCAGTGACTAAAACATGTGTTCGTCCACTATTCGACCATCTTGGATTCGAGAGCATATTGTACACACCACTGACTTTGAATTATCGGGGTATTTCAGCTCCCCTAACTAGACCTGCACTTGTCCACCAGTTCGATCGCAAGCATCAGACGTTTGCACTAGCGCCTATCACTTTGGCGTGAAGGGTAGTAAATTGTGTTGTTGGTAGGAACACTTTGAGGATTAATTTAATCGTCCTACAGCCACGCTAAACTTACCCAGCATCTAACACCTCCTTGAATAATAATAATAATAAACATAGGTCCTCCGTCCTTAACTGAGGTTAAAAATGCTGTCACTAGCCTGAAAGGAGGCAAGACAGCGGGACCTGACGGAATGACTCCAGGTGTTTAAGGATGCTGGAGACAGTTTTCTGTCTGCGTTATCCACGGTATTAGGCGGTATCTGAGATTCAGAAGTAGTCCCGTCAACCTGGTGTAGGTCATTAATTATATCCATATACAAGAGGGGAGACAAGTCTTCCTGTGACAATTAAAGGGGAATTAGCTTGACTAATATTGTATCTAAAGTTCCAGGCTCAATAATCATGCATACACTAAGCGGTGCTCGAGGGAAACAAACACGAGAGAACCATGCATGCATTAGACCAGGAAGAGGATGTATAAATCATAACTTCACCCTTCGACAGATTCTGGAACATAGGCATACTTATCGGTGTTCGACAATCGTCACATTTCTTGACTTGAAAGCGGCATTCGATTCTGTCGACTGAGAGGTACTATGGCGATGTTTGGCTGTGAAGGGAATACCGAGAAAATACATTGCACTGATCAAGACACTCTACTCGAACTCAAGTAGCCAGGTGAGAGCTTACGGCGAGTTGTCATCCAAACTGGTGACAACTGATGGTGTCCATCGGGAATGACCATCATCCCCATTTCTATTCAATTTCATCATATATGTACTAATGGAATTAACCCTAATTGACTACAGCGACTAAGGGATAGACTTGTTACCAGGGAATAGAAGTCTCGCTGACTTAGAATATGTAGATGATACGGTCCTGGGTGAAGATGCTGACAAAATGCAGCGTGTTCTGAACACCTTGAGCTGCAATTTACGAATGTTCGGCATGCAAATCGCTCCCGCCAAATGTAAGATTATGAAGCTACAGGACTGGACTACATTGACTCCTAGCTTACAAATAGGGTGTGAAGTTGTAGAGCATGTTGACGGATTCACTTCTTTGGGAAGTTGCATCAGCCAGTGCCAGCATGTTGGTCGCTGAAGAAATCTCAGTATGGATACAGAAGGCTCGTTTCGCATATGCCAGTTTACGCCGTCTCTGACGTAGACGTGATATCCGTCTATCGACCGAAGGGTGTGTATACTACTCAGCAGTCCGCTCCTTCCTCCTTTATGGTCGTGAGTGAGACATGGCCATTGGAAGACATGAAAAGGCTAGCTGTCTTTGATCCTACATACCATTTTAGCCTAAAAGTGCGTGACGGTATAAGCAAGAAGGTGAAAATGTCTACTATAGAAAAGTCTGCTGCTGAATTTTTTAACGTAAGGGGAGAGTTACAAAGGGATCGATATAATGAATTCCTGCAACACCTAGTATCAGATCTCTATGGGGACAAAAAGTCTCAATAATAATGATAATAATCTTCAAGAATTTGAATGGTTTGTACATTATTCCAATATATTTTTCTCACATAAAAGAAACAGTTGTAACAAAGGTTGGTTTTTTGTTTCGATAACCTGAAAAAAATTGTTCCTGCGTAAATTCAATTTTTGTATTTGTTATATTCAATAGGTAAAAGATACTTTGGTGACAAAAAATGTGTTTTTATCCATTGTAAACATCATACAAATGCCATATTTGCTTTCAGATTAGTGGTTAAATGGCGTATCTGGGATGCCAATATAAAGTGTACATTTTTGTCTTGGATCACTAGTCTTGGTTGCAATACGGGCAAACTTTATTTTGATAAAATCTCATAGTGTTATACAATAATATTTACTGTATAACACTGAGAGACTTTATCAAAATGAATTTAATCCGCGATGTGTTTCTAGCACAATTCATTGCTTCTCATAATCATCATGTCAAGGCAGTACTCAGTCACTGATTCACATAACTTCCAAACTTCGTTTATAATGTGATCCCATTATTCGTAATCCTTTCATTGCTATTGTTGGTAGTAATATTTTCCGTATGCGTGGTATTGACGTCGTGTCATTCCTATCTCAAGTATTTCGTCTGTGTAGATTCGGTGAAGAAAGATTGAGTGACCGACCTTCCTCTTCGCCTACTTATATTACTGTTTACAAGTGTAGATCTGTCCCACAGTCTATTGTGTGGTTGTTGTTGTTTCCTCTAAACTAGTCAACTTTTTGGGGTCCAGTCAGTCGTCGTTCTACACTTAGCTAAATCCTTATGTTCTGATAATCTGACTGACTCCCCGTGATCTACTAGTGTGACTGACCTATGCAGTTGACTTAAGTCAGAGTCACTGCGGGGTATTGTGTAGAATGCATTATTTTGTCTAATTGTGTGTGGAAAGGTTTGGTCTGCAGAGTATGTCCTTGACTGAGTTTGTAAGTATTTGAAGTTATGTATCAGGAGTGACTTTTCTGACAGTGTCAACTGACGAGCGATGTGGGACAAGATGAGTAGTTGATGAGGTCATATGGCGGGATGGAAGTAGAGAAATACATCTGCGTAGATACATTACAGAAACCCAATTGTGTTTCTTCTAGTCAATGGTACGTTGTATCATGAGTGGATCAGATGATAAGGAAATACTTGGTCTCCCAAATTAGTTACCGTATCGGTCGAAACGAGTCCCAATTATGACACCAAACTTGTTGTGGGAACGGACATCCAGCATTGTGTAGAGGATATGTAGTCTTAGTGTGTGCGATGACACACAGTAGTTTCGGAAGTCGCATATAATCAGTTGACGATTATGCGAGTGTATTTAAATTATCGGTGCACAACCGGCAGAGGCCTGTACACGTTCTCACTTCCACAAGTGGACGGCCAGTAGTAATGGATATGTCTGTGTACCCATGAAGTTGTGTGACTGGTGTAGAATGGAATGTGACGGAGGACAACTCTAGCCTTATATTGAAAGCAAGTACAACATACGTCATCTCTTCCTGTAAAGGGTTGGGTTCTCAAGGAATCCGAGTTAGTAGTCCTACTCTACTCCTGAGAAATCTGGGCTCTGTAAGGTGAGCATGGACAACTACTCTGAGTGTCCGTAGAATAGCATTCATCTAGTAATATTATTATTATGTAATTAATTCTGGTCGAGGTAGGAGATCACCTTTCAGGAAATGTTATTACCTTGAAACAACAGGTACTACGAATTTCATCCCAGAGTGTCTGTGACCTACTTTGTAGACAGTGGAGTTCATATTACATGATGTCGCATCACGTGATAAATGCTTGTCTCACACTAGCATGTACTGGTTCAACATTAGTCTCTTAGTGATGTCTGAGAGCTGTTTCGAACTAATGACTCGAAACGTTATCAGTTATGACGAAGAATCGTAACCACAAGCAAAAACATGAAGGGAAGTGACTGTATTTTCAACATAGATCCTTTTTAGACAATGATTTGCTTTTATAAATTTGAACAAAAAAAGAAGAAACATTGGCGCAGAATAATCTGGATCCATTTTGTTCCGTTGGTTCTCATCAACTGTGTACAACCCGAATTCTTTAATAAAATAAAAAATGTACAATTTTAACAAACTTTTGTCCATTAGCAAGCACATTGTCAGAGCGTCATAGTGAAATAAGGCGTTGCAATTCACAAGGTGTTTAAAGTGTTACGACATATATATATCTTGTTAGAGAGAAGTTTCTTGAAAAAAAATAGATTAACAGTTGTGTTGTTAGGGTGGTAGCAGAAGAAAATTAGTGATAGTTACGTAATTAGATAAGAGATCAAAATTTCGGTGCACATGAGGTCAGATGAGAAGTTGATGATGTAATACAGTGAGTGGAACTCAGAAGATCAAGGAAAAGATTATCTCTTTAGAGAGTCAAGCGAAAAATATAGGGGGGAGGGAGTGGAAAGATAAGTTAAGCAAATTAGAAAACAAAGAGCTAATAAGAAGTGAGTTACCAGGGTAATTGAAGTCCAACAACGAATTCTTTTTGTACACATAAGTCAGGCTTCAGTCGTTTTATTGCTATAGCTTCAGCAAACCTGAGAAGACTTCAGGTACTTTGTCTGTCACTGTTGTCTGGAGACATGTAGAAAGATGCAAGCTTGCTGGCTTGAACATTAAGAATGAATATTTGTGAAGACTAGTGGCGCAATGACTAAAGATCGTGTACACTGGCGTCAATATAATCACTAATTTTTGTAATCTAGATGCTGAATATCCTCACTGACCAGGTTTCAACATGGAAGTTTCCACAGAAGTGGTGCAACAGTTCAAGTTGATACACTGCATATAGCACACAAATGTAGGGGAAAGATATTCAAACTACTACAATGACCGTAAATGTTTGGGAGAAGTGATATTGACATGGAGAAAGGGAGGCTTTTATGGATCTGTGTAATCGCACAAAGAGGGAATGCATATTCGCTATTGAGGAAGCTTTTAATTCAGTCGTATCACCAGCAGTTTGGAGATATCTCAAGGCACTCTTCGCCTGCACACGAGGTTGGCTGTCTGGCCAAGACCAATTACCAAAGATGACACGGTCTTATTTCGGGTTTCACTTTATCCAGGGATATATCTCTTTTCTCCAACCTAATCCTACATTACTCTTGACTGATAATCGTGAGATTTGTGACTCGAAACGCGAATCACTTGTTGTTCTAGCTATCTTAATAAATATTCCGCTTGAAAACTTCGGTTTCTGGCTTCCCCTCCTTTCCACACAACACTCTACGGCTCGCTACCTCAAT